GGGCTTTAAGCCCGCTGCAGACGATGCTATTTTTCCTGCTGGATTGCTTGCAATCTAATAAATTACTATCGTTGCACCATTCAGCACTCAGGATTCCTAGTAATTTAGTAAATCGCAAGCAATCCAGCAGGAAAAATAGCATCGTCTGCAGCGGGCTTTAGATCGCAAGCAATCCAGCAGGAAAAATAGCATCGTCTGCAGCGGGCTTTACTAAATTGCAAGCAATCCAGCAGGAAAAATAGCATCGTCTGCAGCGGGCTTTTGATATCGGACGTCGTATGTGTCGGATATATCGGATCCAGCGTGAATTCTGCATCAGGTGTAGCAGGTGTAGAAAGGGCATACCGAATTAAAATTGCCGCCATCAGCGCCGCTCATGGTGGATTTGCCGAACCCTCTCGAGGACTCGTGGGCTCGTGGCCGCGCCGCACTTGCACAGCAGAGAGGAGGTTATTTTCTTTCGGGTCGACCTTCTTCCGGCGAGATGTACGACGACTACAACAACGAGGTACTCGACCACTCATTTGCCTTTAATTTCGCAGCGTCGAGGAGACCGAGACTCTTGTCCTTTCGCTTGTGTCCGAGCCGCTCTAATCTACGCGCGTTTCCCCGCAGTATGACGCCTACGACGATTACGGGCCGTCGGACACGCACGACCAGTTCGAGCGGCCGAGCTACCGGCAGGTGCCCGAGGTGGTGCGCAACTTCCTGGTGTTCCTGCGCAACTGCATCAACGAGGGCATGATCTTTGAGATCCAGAACCTGTACGAGAACACGTTCCCCAAGATCTCGGAGCAGCTGTTCGACAAGTCGCCGTGGCCGGACGCCACGACGATCGCCCACATTGTCGACAACGACGCGGTGTTCCTCACCCTCTACAAGGAGCTCTACTACCGTCACATTTACGCGCGCATGCAGGGCCCGACGTTGGAGCAGCGTCTCAACTCCTTCTACAACTACTGCGATCTCTTCAACTATATCTTGCATCCCGACACCCCGGTGCAACTGGAGCTGCCCGATCAGTGGCTCTGGGAGCTCATCGACGAATTCGTCTACCAGTTCCAGTCGTTCGCCCAGTACCGCGCCAATCTGTCCAACAAGACGCCGGACGAGATCGAGAATCTCACCGCGCACAACAAAATCTGGGACGTTCTGTGCGTGCTGAACGTCTTGCACTACCTGGTCGACAAGTCTAAGATAAAGAGCCAGCTGGAGGTGTACGCGAGCGGCGGCGATCCGGATTCCGTGGCCGGTGCCTTCGGCAGGCATTCCCTGTACAAGATGCTCGGCTACTTCTCCCTCGTCGGCCTCCTGAGACTGCACTCTCTGCTGGGCGACTATTATCAGGCCATCAAGGTCTTGGAAAACGTGGAGCTCTACAAGAAGAGCGCGTATTCCCACGTGCCCGGCTGCCAGATCTCGACGGCGTATTACGTGGGCTTCGCGTACATGATGATGCGCCGTTACGCGGACGCGATCAGAACGTTCTCCGGTATCCTGCTGTACATCCAACGTACAAAGCAGCTGTTCGCCACGCGTAGCTACCAGAACGACCAGATCAACAAGCAGACGGAGCAGATGTACCATCTGCTCGCCATCTGCCTGGTCCTGCATCCCCAGTGCATAGACGAGGGACTGCAGCAGGCCCTGCGCGACAAGAACTACCACGAGAAAATGTACAAGATGCAGTACGGCGACCTCACCGAATTCGAGAATTGCTTTATATTCGCCTGCCCGAAATTCCTGTCCCTGACACCACCGAATCCGGATAATCCCAACGAAGACTACGTCCGCGAGGCCATCAAACATCAGACCCAGGTATTCATGGACGAGGTGGTGCAGCAGAAGATGCTTCCGACCATTCGTTCCTATTTGAAACTCTATACGACTTTGCCGTTGAGTAAGTTGGCCACGTTTATGGGAAACAACACCAGATCCGACATCGAGGGCTGGGATCTCGACAAGGAAGTCAACGCGTTGACGATCCACTTACTGTGTTTCAAACACAAAATGAAGAACATCGTTTGGACGAAAGGTACATCGGGATTAGACGGCAAATTCCAATCCGGTTCTGAGGTAACTATCATATTTATATTTAAAAAATATAATTCGATTTATTCAGATATTTAGTTCTCTTGTGTATTTTGTATTTTCTTGGACGCATATTTTTGACGATAAAAATTAATGTCACAAGTCAAAGCGTTCACAATCAACTTAATTAATCAAGTAATTTCATTTACTTTCTGTTGTTGCTTTTGAGTTTTTGAAATAATAAATATTACATATATTGAGGCAACCACAGAAATCGTTTCTTTCTTTCAGTTGGATTTTTATATCGATCACGACATGATTCACATCGCCGACACGAAGGTAGCGCACCGTTACGGAGACTTTTTCATTCGCAAGATACTAAAGTTTGAAGAACTGAATCGCAAATTGCATCATATAAAGATTTAACTGTATATTACGCAATTATTATTAAATATTTTAACAGTATGTTCGCATCAGAGAGGGAATAAAGTTTTCAGAAGTAAACATTTATTTCTATTAAATACATTTATCAAAAATATTTCTCAGCGATTATAATCAAGTGCATATAATTTGTGTAACGTAATGCGCAAAATACAAATAACAACAATGTACGAAAGTACATTGCTATCCACACTTGTATTGTATATTTAGTATTTTATGAATCTTCACATTAGGCAAGTGAACCTGAACAATTTTGTATTTGGTACTAAATGTGCGGTAAAAGTACAGGACAATGAACTTGTGAAAGATCAGTTATTGCGAACGTTTCCCTCGTTTATATAAATTATTTTAAATTCAATTTCTTTTATATATCTATCTCATTTTTTACAAATGCCAATATACTTGTATCTCACTGAAATATAACAAATTCAGTTTTACAAAAAGAAACATCACTGTAGAAAAAAATAGCAATAATATTTAGATATTACATGTATTTTATACAACAAGCAACAATGCATTAAGTCATTATATATACATACTACAATTAGACATAAATATAAAAACCCGAAATAACTTCACTATAATTTATGGCAATGTCAAAATTCGATAAAATTGTCACCATCCTCGTATAAAATACATGTCTGCCTTAAGTATCAGTCGCTAGTGACACTGGCTGCACACGTAGATGCGATTTTATTCTCTTTCTCACGTAACATTCCACACGCGGCAGCCAAGATATTCGGCTTCATCGACACGGTCGGCACTTTTAAACTGTGCAGATAATGGAAAAATCGATTGCCACGTTTGTAATTTGCGGTCGAGCGAGATTCCTCTGCGCGACATATCGTTCGTGCGGTTGGAAGATAATCCAATGCCATAATTCGTCGATCTAAACACATGGATGTAACGTGCGACAGCGCTAGATCCACTCCTCGATTCAGTTGCTTCCGCAGAAGAATTCTGCTTTGATTTTGTACGTGCTCGTTTGGCTCAAAGTCTTTATACAATATTTGGCTGTTAATAAAATGTGCTATGTCCGCGTTCACATCGAGCAAAGCGGAATAGAAAGACACGTTTTCGGTTAAGGATAAACTAGGTTGCGCGTTCTCCTCTAACATGTCCAACGTCGTGTCTTCGACATCGATCAAAGACGACACTAGAGATAAATTGTCCAAATCCTCCGCTAAGTTGCTCAATATATTGGGATTTTTAGTATTTGTACTTTTCTTCGTCGTGTACTTCTTGTTTAGCTTAATCGCAGGCTTGTATAAATAACGTTGCATGTCTTGCCAGAGCGATGGCTTCGCGACTGTAGATTCTTCCGATAAGACTGGTGGACCTGATAGTAGTAGATATTGCAACTGCAATAGTGCCTGCCTTAGATCGCCTGCTTGCAGCAATTTCTAAACAATGGAATTCACTTATTTAACGATGGGCAAGCGTGGTATAGTATAAAACTCGCACAACTTCAATAAAACAAAATTAGATTCAAAATTGTGAATTAGTTGGCAATCTTTAAGGATCATTCTTAAAAACTTTTCTTTTCATAAAAAACAAAACCTTATTCCTTTTTAAAAGTTTAAAATAATATTTCTTTAAAGGAATCTTAAATATTACATACATATTTCAATTGACAACAAAATGTGAATTTTACACAATTTAAGTGCGAGAGATTTAAATATTACCTACCGTTAAGCAATTGTGCGGAATTCTGTAACCCGTTTCTGCCAGCGAAATCAATTCCAGCAGGGTAGACACCCTGTTACCACTCACTTTATGAAAGTAAACTTTGTTCTGTTGCGGTGCCATTTTGTTCAAATGGGGACATGTGTCTCTACATGTCATAACAATTGGTCGTTTGGTGTTCGATGCTAATTGATACGCGGCAGAAACGAATCCTTCGTCTTCCTCGAAGATAAGATCGATATCTTCCAGAAGAATTAGCGAATTTTGCGATATTTTAGGAGCTTCGCTCTCATTCGTGACTCGCTCAAACGGAGATTTGTGTTTACTCTTTTTTATTCTGTGCGACTTCGTAGCTTCCTCCAATTCCTTCAAGATTCTCTTTCCAGTCCGTCTGGAAGATGCGTTCACCTCGATCACGCTGCAAAAGCAAGAGAGTTTAATTTACCTCAAGCAAAATATTGCGAATTCATCACTTTCAGTAAGTCGCAATTACCTGTAACCAAGTTCCTCCGCTGTCGCGTACACGCTCGCGCTCTTTCCGCTACCGTGCGGCCCTAGTAACACAGCAATCTGATTGTTTTCGTTGTTGCACGAAGAACTGCAATCCGAGGAATAAAACTCGTCACCGCTACTCCCGTCATTCTCCTTCGTTAGGGTCGCTCCCCAGCCGCTCAACCAATCCTTTAGCTTACTCGCAGCCTCTTCATTCCCAACTATCCCTTGCGCACTCATCGGCTTGTATTTATATGTCCAAGCGCAATCATACGATTGATCTTCCTCGTCCCTGACGTTCTTCATTAACGCTTTCTTCCGCTCAAGCACTCTCGTCTTTCTATTTCTCGTCCGAGGTGACGGTTTCTTTTCCGAATCACCTTTAATTGTCGATATAGTCTTCCACATTTTCCGCACATCCGGATAAAGCTCTTCGATTTCTGATAGCACCCGTTCAACGTCTTCCTTTGCGGGCTCGTTAATCGTTTTAGTCGCTTTTGATGCTTCCCTACAATTAGTAATACACTTATAATTATTAATATCTATCGAAGGCAAGTATTTCTTCTCGATTCTCATGGAAAATTTATGCTTGATTTCGGATCTGGTCGAGTCCGACTCATTTTCTAACTGTGTAACGTGACTGATGGAGGGAAATGCTAACGTAGATGTGCTATTGTTCGCTTTATGGTTCATATTTTTGTTCTCTACGTCGACTATATCTGACTGCAGGAACAAACGTCTAGCTGTCGTGACAGCGGGATCAGTTTTACGACGTTTAATGAATAATGGCGCCAGCTTTTCATTCGGTTTCCTCTTTAGAAGAATGTTCTGGCTGATAATCTCGCACTCATTGGAATCATCAGTTACTGCAATAATCGTCTCACTCGTGTCATTAATCTTTTGCTCTTCCTTCTTAGTTTTATTTAACTTTTTCAAGTCAGTACTTTCATTAGAAGTGTTTGTGGAGGGATCTTTGGCAATGTTTGGAATGCCGTTCTTCACAATTGATTCTTTTTTCCCCACGTTTCGCATTCTCTTAAGACATCGATCGTAATCCTTCACACAGGCTTCATTATTTTCCGTATTTCCAGACTTACTTGAAGTATTTAACTTGGACTTGCTCCTCGGTGAAAAGATTTCCTCGTCGGAAACTGCAAATAAAATTGTGTTCATTTTACAGCATAATTAAAGCTATAGATATTAGTCAAAAGAGTCAAAGTCAGCGATCAAAGTGTGACAAAAACAATCACTGCCATCAACCAATGGAATCATGAACATTGGGAGACTCTGCTTGTGTTTTACATCATGTACTTAAAAAGTGATACATGTAACGGCAATTTTTCAATAGTTATATTATATTACCATCTAGAGAATCATTATCTTCAGAGGAGTGTAATTTTATTCGTAAAGACCATCGGGGTTTTTCCCGCTTTTGCTTATCTTGCTTGACGGTCTGCGGAGAAGACAAATTCTCAGACGCTATTATGTGAATATCGTCCACTGTAGAAAGATCCAACTCTGACTTTGAACATTTCTTGAGAAAATGCTTCTTGTTCGAAATGGGCTTCATTATGGGTTCAACGTCAGAGTTATCAGTCCTATGTACGTCCGCTTTTACGATAAAGGTGGATATACATTTTTCATCCCTATTCGTTAATCCCGAGGGTGATTTGCTACATATTAAAATATACAGTTATTTCATCTGAGCAATTACAAAGCAATTATTAAATTTAATATTGTGCAAGCTCTTGCAATAAATTCTATCGTGTCAATAATTTAACAAACTAATACAGGATACAATACACTACATAATTATATAATAAATATGCACCAATTACCTAAAATAATTGAACAAGTTTCCAGACTGTTTGGTACTTTTTACCGATACTTCAGAGCTATTGTCCTTTTTGTGTACTGCATCGTTTTTACCCTCGCCGTTGAAGAACCTCATGCGATTTTCAATATTCTTTTCTATTCTCTCGCCCTCTTCCATTTCCGCAATTTTTCGTTTCGAATATCCCTTCTTATCAGCTAAAGCTATCAGCTTCTCTTTGCATTTTGCTCTCACCTCTTTTGCGTAATCTGACTTCTCTTTACTCTCCCTGTCTTCTACGGATTGCTGCGGTGGTGATTTGTACTGTATTGGTTTACTTCGACTCATCAGAACCTGAAAGGCATTTGATTCTTCCCGTTGGAAGCCGATTTCTTTATGAAGCTCTACATTCGACTCAGTCTCGTCGCTGGAATCAACACCGTTGTGGCAACAGCTGTCTATATCCACAACGCTCTCTTCATTCAAACCTTTTTCCCACGAGACATTCGCCGCTTCTTCAGACCGATTCTCATCCTTTTTCACAGTGAGCCGTGAATGCTTAAAAATACGAAAATCCAGTTGCAAATACTTATCGATAAACAGATGTCAATTTAATAAAATCAATACCTTCTCGAGACGCCGTTTTACAAGCGACTCGGCCGAATCTGATTTTGGTGTTCCATCCTGCAGAGTTCTGTGACCATTGTTTATCTGACCGTTGAACGGACTGGGCGTCTTGTCAATCAGGTCGCTACTGCTCTCAATTATATCGCACATCTTGCTCGCGGAGCCATTGCGCGATATCCGGATCTTGACACGTTTACGTTTGCCCATCGCGCCAATCTCTTCCTTTTGCCGCTCCTCTTGATTCACGTTGCTGGAATCGTCAGTCACCTCCTTGTCGACGATATTTCTACCGTTGGCGAAGTATTGCTTTATGTCTTTCATACTTCGAAACGGAGTCTTTTCTTCTTCTTTTGCCTGACCTGTAGACTCTAGTCCGTTAGAGACGCGGTATCATCGTTTTCCTCTATCTCCGATTCCTCTCGAAAGTTCTCGGTAAGCAACGGGAATGTGCCAACGATGAAAAACCCAACGGCTGGTAGGAATGAAACGGCAACGTGCGTCAACGACGAAGGTACCGTAAAGCGTGCACGGCGTCTACGCTCTAGGTCTTCGTTAACGACGACGCGATTAAATTTCCCGTGAAATGGCTACCTTCGCGCCGCGACCACGAGCAAGAAATTTATGTCGCTCGCCTCTCGACGACACAACGTAGCGCGATGGCACGTTCGCGCGACATGCTCGACCTGACTCGACCCCTCGGCGGCTTCCCGCCTTTTTGACATCGCTCTTGGTTGTGAGCGCGAACTGGCGCGACGGCCGCGGCACGAACCACAAACTTCTATATACTACTAGCACAGTATAACCAGTAGTGGCACTCGCTCTTTTGTTTCACGTTCGCGCCGATCCGTACTGCGCATCCGACATGTTTTTATTCTGACCAATCACAGGATTTTTGTACGTGCGTTAGTGCAAAGTCGGTGTGACATTGAAAAATTCGCAGTGTTGACGAATAATGGGTAAATACTTTTATACATTGGAGCAAGTAATTACATTAATTACTTTTATTAGAACATTTTCTTTCATATGCCATTTCCATTTACAATAAATAATGTATGCCAGTTCGTATGTGCCTTTCCTGGATACGATCCTGAAAAGGGCTCAGGCACTTTTAGCCGTTGATACACTGTTGGCGCGAATAAAAACATGGCGGAAAATTGAGAACGCCCAGATCAAAGGTGCCGACAGAGAGTGCAACTACTGGTTATACTGTGCTACTAGACCGCTGCCAGCGCGGAGAGAGAAACGGATGCGCCCCCTGACAAAGTGGATGTCACCTACGTCTGTTCACTCGGCGACTACGGCTGGGTCTACATAGGATGTAGTAAGTCGTGTCGGAAGAAATTGACCAATCACAGTTCATTATTCTTCGACCGTAAGGAGAATAATGAACTGTGATTGGTCAATTTCTTCCGACACGACTTACGACATCCAATGTAGACCCAGCCTACGTTTCCACCGAGGGTCATGCGTGGTTTACAATGCGAGTCGCAGAGTCGTAGTCGTAAGAATAATCGACTGCGATTGGTCAATTTCGTCAGACACATAAGAATTGACCAATCATAGTCGACTATTTTTACAATTCTCGGTTTTGTCTACAATGGTCGTAGTCGTAGTCGCTCGATAAAGCCTCCGCTACAATGATTCTCGGTTCTGTCTACAATGGTCGTAGTCGTAAGAATAATCGACTGTGATTGGTCAATTCAGTCAGTCACATAAGAATTGACACATAAGAATCGCAGTCGATTAAGGCCTTCACACATAAAATTCCGTAAGGACGTAAAACGTAAGCATAAGAAAATCGATCAATCACAGTCGAGAACGTAAGGCAATGACGCAAGCAGTAGCAAATCCAACCTGTTCATTTTCTTACGCTTACGTTTTACGTCCTTACGGAATTTTATGTGTGAAGGCCTTTATTCTTACGACTACGACCATTGTAGACAGAACCGAGAATCATTGTAGCGGAGGCTTAAGAATTGACCAATCGCAGTCGATTATTCTTACGACTACGACCATTGTAGACAGAACCGAGAATCATTGGGTCTGTTTTTTATTGCTGCACTCCTGAACTAGTGCACACTGGTGCAATGAGTTGGAATGAGAGGTAATCTATTTGTTTCATTTTAACTTATTGCACTAGTTCAGTAGTGCAGTAATAAAGAACAGGCCTATTGTAGCGGAGGCTTTAGTCTATGGGGTTGAAGAACTCCGAAGTCCTAGAACTCCGAAAGAGCTTTTACAGAAAGAATTCTATGCGAAGCTCAACGGTTTTACTATTTACAGCGGATTCGTCGCAATGAAATTACAATTCCGATACCTTATTTCTCTATCTCTCTCTCTTTTCTTTCTCAGAAATTATTTTTATTAATATATAAAGTGATATATTTATGATTCCGACGACCGCGCGCGATTCGCGAATGGAATCGTCTCACGGTTCTTCGCTCCATCGTCCTTATTCGCAATGTTGATGTTAAAAGTTCCGTCTGGGCCGTCGAGCGGTTCACACGTCTTCCGACGGAAGATAAATTTTTGATCCTGCGGGATTGCATCATCCCGCGCGTGGCCCGGTCCGCCCGGTTACCGGGCCATTGCATCGTTCAATTCACTACATTCCAAGCAACACCATTAAGTCTATTGGTTCGACGTGGCCGTGTCGGCTCAGTGTCTGTGAGCCGGGAGCCAATAACCAGAGAAGAAGATGTTGATGTTAACACTCTTATTGCTGCCGCTGGCTCTTCTCGCGCGTAAACTCTACCTGAAGAAATTCAAGTCCACCAAGAATGTCTGCGTGCTGGTGCTCGGTGACATCGGCAGAAGCCCGCGAATGCAGTACCACGCGATCTCCTTCGCGCGGGAGGGCTTCACCGTGGATGTTGTAGGTTACCCCGGCTCGTCGCCGTCGAAGGAAATCAGCGAAAATGAGCGCGTACGGGTTCACTACCTGCGACCGCCTCCGGAGTTGCAGAACAGTACGAATTCAGCACTGCCGTTATTTCACAGATTTTTGCTTACACCTCTTATACTCTGACCTTTTCTCCCAACTTTCTGTTTTCGCCCTTGTTTATAGAGAACGATCGTATCGTATTGCTATTTCAGGATTGCCACGTCTTCTCTGTTACATTATAAAAGTGGTATGGCAAACGGCTGATCTCTCATGGCTGTTACTTCGCAAACGCATATCAAACTCGCTGATAGCGCAGAATCCACCCGCGATACCAACCATCCCGGTATGCTGGCTTTATTGTGTGCTAATGAAGGCGCAGTTCACGATTGATTGGCATAATTATGCCCACTCGCTCATGGCACTGAACCTGGGACAGGATCATGCCCTGGTTAGATTTGCAAGAGTTATCGAGACGACGTTTGGCTGCAGAGCAAAGTATAATTTCTGCGTCACTAAAGCGATGAAGGAAGATTTGGAAAAGAAATGGGCTATTCAGTTAGTATCATTTATTACGTGTTAAAAACGGGCGACTGTTTATGATCTTCTTTTTTTTTAATACAGAGCAAAAATCCTGTATGACAGACCAGCGGATGAATTTCATCCAATAACTTTGACAGAGAAAAATGAGTTTCTGCACAAATTAACTGAAAAGTATGACATATTGATACCCAGTTCACCCAGAACCGGCTTTGTTATATCCAGCACTAGTTGGACCGAGGATGAAGATTTCTCAGTTCTATTAAGCGCTTTATTCGGTAAATCTATGTGAATCAATTTCATTCGTGCAATCTGCTTTTGAGGCCTGTGTCCACGGTGCTAGTTTGTCCAAGTTCTAGCATCGTGGACACAGGCCTTTACAAGTGTACAATGATTAAGGGGTCTGACACATATATGATACTTTTTGTAGAGTACGAAAACGCGTGCATAACTAGCGAGTTAAACTTGCCGGACTTGGTCTGTGCGATTACAGGCAAAGGACCGTTAAAGGACTTCTACATGGCAATCATTAATTTAACAAAGTTTAAACATATCACAGTAAAGACGCCGTGGCTTGAGAATGAGGATTATCCCAAAATACTAGGTATTCTATGTATCTGCGTGTTGTCGCTAATTAAGAATAATTTTTGAAAATACAACTCCCTTTTTTTTATGAAATGTTTTAAACACCCTGTTTTTAAAATAGCTAGCGCAGACTTAGGTGTGTGCCTTCATACCTCATCCAGCGGACTGGATTTGCCTATGAAAGTTGTTGACATGTTTGGCTGCCGTTTGCCAGTTTGCGCATACAATTATAATTGGTATATATATGATACATACAATAACAATTAATATATCTAATATGATTATCAAGTGAATTGGCTTACTAGAGAGAGAATGTATCTTGTTTAGTTTATCAGAACTGGTCAGGCACAATGAGAACAGTTTGACATTTGCGGACGAGAAGGAACTGGCTGAGCAATTGAAAATGTGGTTTCAAGATTTCCCGAACAATAAGTCACAACGGCAGTTGCGTGAAAAATTTCAAGGAAACATGTTTACATCTCAGCATGATAATTGGCACAGTAATTGGAAACTCATTGTGTTGCCCTGTTTTCAAGAGTGATTTCCACTGCAGTTTGATGTTTCTTAATATAAGTTTGTACATATGCTATGTATTCCTCTACGCTATTATGCATAGTAGCATAAGTGTGATATTTTATTATGTTATAGTATAAGATTTCGATTACATCTGTGAAAGTACAGACCACTAGACTAGAATTTTACGCTGATTTTTTGTTTCATGTATTTAACATCTAACTTTTTCAAAGAGTTTAATTTTGTTTATATTAATATACAATTAATATATTTTATGGCTTACTAATAGCAAATGACACATATATGATATTCAAGCTGTGTTAAGAGAAACCAATAACATCACACAGTTATGTTCGATTGTCTTGACATACTCATTATTGTGTGCTTGATATTTTCAATTTTTTCTGAGAAATAAGAAGGTCCAATCTTGACAGCAACAACGCTTATACCGCTAGCTATACAACACGCTCGACCGAGTTGTTCCGTCTTACATGCATAGATGTAAGGTACACCTTTTGTTTCCGCTAGCTTTGTCAAACGTGTCAAAAGATCTAATGGTGTCGTTAAATGCGTTGCATTTTCGGCAAGTACAATAAATTCCGTCAAGTTTCGTTCCATCAAGCTTATTGCGTCCGTCAATCCAATGAACAGCATATTTCTCTCCACGTGATACATTTGCCGAATCAATATTAATAACTCGTTATTTAATTTCTCCGTCACGACGAGATCAGCAACACAATTGCGTTCTTCACACTGTGCAAACATAAATAAGCGTGAACACAAATGTATGATAATTGTTCATTCTAAAATTAATATATTCACGTTGACTTTTAAAATAATTTGAGTAAATTAAGAAGAATAAAGACTTATTGCCAGTAAATAATTAACTGATATAGGAAATTAATAGTTGGCACAACTGGCAAGTTTTAATTAAAGAAATTTATTGCGAAAAGTATTACCTCAGGCAGGGTTTCAACCTAGACCTTCCTATACGAAGCCCTACATGCCTCAATGGTCGATTCGGCGAAACACCCGCTTAGAGTGTAGGGAGGTCCAGGTTCAAACCCAGGCTAAGGTAATATTTGTCACAATAAATTTCTTTAATTAGAATTTGCTAGTTGTGTAGACTATTAATTTCCTACATTAGTTGAGTAAATTAACTTGAGTATTATTCTCACAATTGAAGGATTCAGTTGTAGAGTTGTTTTTCAAGTTTTTAATTCTGTATCAGAGATGTGTAGAGAAAGGAAAATACACGAAAGTCGGTATTGAACTTTTTATTAATGTTTAAAATTTTTCTTTTATACAAAAGATTTCATACGGGAGATTAACATACATTTCTTTTTATAAATAGCAGTTATTAAGTTGCATTTCGTTTATGTCAAAATATTTGTGGTAGTGATAATATTGTGTTACTAGTAATTAATTTTTACCATGTAAAAATAACAAATATAGATGTCATTTATATTAAGAGCCTCTCAATTTCTTCTTGGATAGCTTTGATCTGTGTAACCAATTGTGAGCCATCTAGCATCAATACTGAACAAGCTACCACCGGCCTGGAGACTCCACAGGCTCGTCCCAGGGCCTGCTTGCTCCGCACGAAGACATAAGGTACGTTCTTGTCTTCGCACAACAGCGGCAGGTGCAGCAGGATTTCCAGTGGCGTGGTATCGGCAGCCATCACTATGAACTCTGACAGGCCACGATTCAAGGACTTGGTGGCCTCGTTCGCTCCCTTCTTCAGCTGTCCGTAGCTCACCGCCTGCTGCACCAGATTCAGTATCTTTATGGTAAGCGTCGCGTCCGCCAGCGGATACGCCTTTGGCGATACTTCGTCTACCATCTAAAAAGAAAGATCGGAAGGTCAACGCAATGCCGTCTTGAGAGCGAGACATGTCCACACGCGTGAACGTAGTACGAGTCGCATGTAGACGCGACCACGTGGGAGAGTTAACCACAAATAATAGCATGTATCGCGATCGGAACGAACATTTGTGACATTACTCACCGTGTAACTACTAGTATCTTTTCCGTTCCTATTCCTTTTCCGTTATGGCTGCGTATTGCCGCGACAGACGTGTACTTCTTCTTCTTCCTCCTCTATATTTTCGGTCGAATATTTAGCCAGGGAAGTCAGGAATTCTATTCTAACCATTAACAAGTAGTGTTTTGGGGTTGCTGGTCATGAATCTTCAGATATTCAGACGACACACATGTGCTGAGATGGCGCCTCAGCCTGGCGCCGCTAGCGAGCAGGCCAACAGCCATGGAGTCTGTGCAAGAAGACTAGAGACTTGGGTCGGTATTCATAGGCCGGTATTCATAGTCAAATCTTATATTCAGGGCCGTCTTAAGATCATCTTTAGATACTCCACAGCCAATGAAAAATTCCATACAGTATCTTTAGATAAATTCAAGACGGTCTTGAACATAAGATCTGACTATGAATACCGGCTGTAGTCCGTTCTTAAGCCTCCGCTACAATGATTCTCGGTTCTGTCTATAAGGCTGGGTCTACATAGGATGTAGTAAGTCGTGTCGGAAGAAATTGACCAATCACAGTCTATTATTCTCCTTACGATCGAAGAATAATGAACTGTGATTGGTCAATTTCTTCCGACACGACTTACTACATCCTATGTAGACCCAGCCTAATGGTCGTAGTCGTAAGAATAATCGACTGCGATTGGTCAATTCTTATGCGTCTGACTGAATTGACCAATCGCAGTCGATTATTCTTACGACTACGACCATTGTAGACAGAACCGAGAATCATTGTAGCGGAGGCTTTAAGATGATTTTGAAATAAGAATTAACTATGAATACCGGCCTTAAACCAACGGCACACGATACTATTTTTCCTACTGGATTCCTTACGAGAGCCAATCAGAATGCAGAGTTTTCGATCAGGTGATTCAAAGCTGAATCCTGATTGGCTCTCGTAAGGAATCCAGTAGGAAAACTAGTATTGTGTGCCGTTAGCTGTAGTCTCTGTTATTATCGCTACCTGCATCTGTGTCACATAATGGTTTTTAACTTTCAAAATTGTTCGAGTTTTGACATAATATTTTAAGGATACGTTTTTAAAACCTTTTTCAAAATATGTGAAAAAAATCAATTTTTTACTTAACCGAAGGTATACTCTTACTTTCTAATCAGATCTTAATATTATAATTTTATAATTTGTTCTATATAACAGCTGTACTTTCTCGCATTCCAAAACTCAGCAAAATATACGCAACGCAATAATTTTTCTACATACGATATACAATATATAATATTTAGAAAAAAAAGTTGATTAATCTTTTTATAATTGGTGTGAAAGTCTAAATTCACGAAAATTGAAAAAGTATCAAAAGAACATGATCCGCAAAGAGGTGGTGCTGTCTAAAAGCCTGCGTTCGTTTTCTCCCACCAGGAGCATAAACTATACTGAAAGTCTATAATTTACGTAACGTAAACTATAGAGTTTCAGTATAGTTTATGCTCCTGGTGGGAGAAAACGAACGCAAGCAAAATGTCAAGAATTTTATGAGATTTCCAAGAATTTGAAATTTTAAATGGCGAAAATTAAAAACCTTAAAAATCGAAAAAGTATTAAGAGGATATAATCAGCCAAAAAGTTGCACTTGGAGATTCCAAAAATTTTCCAAAGTTCCAAAATTGCGATGTTGAGAATTAGAAATTGACATACATATTCATATAATTAATAATATAATATATATAATAATAAAAATAAAAGACAACATATTAATAAAATAATATTAATATAATTAAATATTATTGACGTATCGATGTATTCAGCCTGTTCTTTAAATGTTATTTCACGTACAATTTCAATTTGATTGTATTATTATAATATGACATCAAAATAAAAAACGTTTAGAGCGAGCTAGATTTTAACTAACCAATATTTTTATAGGTTATATTGCTACATATAGTTACCTGCATTCTTCTCTTCGTGCAGCAAAAGTATCTCACTCGTTTTTGTTGGATGGGAAAGATTCCTCCTTTTATTTGTTTTAATAATGAATTTAAGTAGTATCTTCCTCATAGGAAACTTGCATAAAGACATTAAATTTAAGTTCTGAAGGCATTTGTGAGGACGAGAGAAAATTTATTTTAAAAAATGAATGGCGTTTTGTCAGCGCTTCGACGAGTGGAATTATTACATCGTATCCTTGCTCCTTTGATTGCATCTGTATCGTGTAACGCGTTATATATTTTATGTAACATTAATATGAAAGAGAAAGGAATGAGACAGAGAAGCGTAATAAAATCACTTCCATTTTTAAAACTAACTTTCTTTATTCGCGCTGCCATTTTATATGCATTCTTATTTGTATCCAATATGATTTAATTTCTCAAACTCTCATCAGCCATTCCCTGCTTATCCCTAACTACATACTAAAAACAATTTCACGTACAAAAATAATCATAACAACAATAAGAGATAAACAACAAAGATTCAATATTAACATATAATTTACATTCACATAGAAAGTAACAAACTCGCCTATCTTCACATATGGATCATATGCAAAAAATACTAATTCTGATGGTCCTGCATTTCACGTTTATACATATCAAAAGGCATTCCTACATCTCGGTACTTTGCTACATAAAATGATATAAGTCAGTTCAAAATATTGTTACGGATATGCGGTATACGTGTGACGTAATGGGAATAATTGTTACATCGTGTGATAAACTATTGTTGGTAACATCCGAAATAGAATACGTATGTATGTGTGTTGCTCAGAACTATGACTTTACATATAAAAAGTCTTCTTAAAGTATGTATTACAACTTTAAGTGGGCTTAATATCGATACCTTTTAACAGTTCTCTAATTTTCACTGTAATATCTCTAAAGATTAAACAAAGTCGTTTCCAAAGTGTTTATTTACTCGATAGTTTGATTACCGAAATATTTTTCAACCGTTAAACGCGAGACTTACTTCAAGACTCGTTATCCCGATTACTACCTTTTTATTTTCGCTCGATCGTACGTTATTGACATTTTTCAGGCAATTTCCTTCGATTTGTTTTACATAACACACACCCTTAAAGTATGTACTTTCGCTTATTCACAATTACACAAAATAAATCATTATACGCACTGTTATGAACAAAAAAAACATTAATGAAATAATCAACGTGATGTTAGGTTTATCAATGCGTTGCGATCATAATTATTACATTATCCTGTAGCAATTTGTAATAATCTTTACTCGTTAAGTATCGAAAGTTATATACGCGATTCGGCGTCTCTAGCAGTAATGTAGCGATATAAATCTCGCAATAATGTCCTTTATATCGTACTTTGTTATGTCCAATGCATTAATAATGGCGTAACTTCTTGTGCCTCTTTGACTCGTGAACATCGGTTGCTTAACAGTATCACAACATGGATCTTCAAACATGTAATACAGCGACATTTGGAGAGCTCTACTAGATACATTGGCTAAATATATAAGTCATATGGCGCATATAGTAGTATATTATACATATTTTCTCCATGGAAACATTAAGAAAGGAAGTGTAAGTAAAAAGGCACTATTTCCGGGTATGGGAAAGAATCAGTTTCTTTAGGCCTCCCTGACTTCTACCAAATCCCATCGCAACATCACAGACCTCGCATTAACAGAAGTTACGCCGCTGTGAGTGTGTCACCCTCATATCATTACTTGCACACGTGTGTAAAGTCTTAATCCATTATTCATCCATCATGGAACATACCGAAATACTTTACCGGAGTAAAATTATAAATAGCCACTCTTAAATTCAATATGTTCAAGCATACCCAACAAATACACTGGAAGCATAAACTTATTGATTAACTGCTTTATAAGCTAGAATGGAATTCATCATATGCTACAAAACGATGGAATTTTCTCTTATTATCGCATACGGTAGTTGACTAGCCACTGGGAAAATTATTAATTGGCAAGAGAATGTTCAATTTCTTTCTACGCACAGTTTCAATATGCACATTATTTAGTCACAATGAATATCAGCTTGCTGTAATTGCATTATGTAAAAACACCGGTGTTACGTTATATTGACTGTCGAGGATGACATCGATTTAACAATCATTCCATTAAACGGGTGTTTCGTGATCAGTCTCTTCGATTCTTCCCAATCTCCAAGCATTTGGGTCACCTGCCGCTGTAAGTTAAGAGGAATTTTTTCAATAACTATTAATTATGACGCAAAAAGAAACGAATAACAAATTAATAAGTTTTGAAATAAATACGTTTAAAGTTTTAAAGTATTACCATAGTTGCACTTCCTCACTTATAAAAAAAGTTTCAGCGATAGTATGGATGTTAAAAAATATATATATATTTTTGTAATATTTTCAAATCAGTTGTTAAGTGAAACAAGTATAATAAGAATTATAATACGCAAGTATTTAAAGGTTTAAATATATGTATATTGTTCCCCTTTCAATTATCAATTTTTTAAGATTACCATGTTCTCGAAAAATATGGCAATGGGTTTGCCTTACATGTATTTATCATGTATAAAAATTTTCGAAAGCATAAAAAAAAACTCACCTCTTGATACAATATCCGGGAAGAACAATTAATGGAATTACTCTGCGACATTTGTGTAATATATATGCATCCCATTGCAGGAACATAACATGTACATCACATACGACTTTTGTGCTAGAGTGTTGCACGATTGGTAGGCAAGGATATTACAGCGAAGTCTGAACGTTGCACGACATAGGGTGTGGGAGAAATGTACAGGGTGGTACACTTAGGCGATTCGTATGGTGAAGGGTATTATTCAGTACTTCTTGATTCGTGTATAGCAGCGGCATTCTCTCTTCTATTTCCAAAGCAAAATCAATGTTGATGCAAAATTATAAAAAAAGTGCATATAAATAAATACAAATATCTATAGCACGTACAAGTCATTACTACATCAAATGTGACAAGATGTCAAAACTATATTATTTTAAAGTAAAATAAATTATAGAGTATTAAAAATATAAACTAATGTGAGTGTGCGCATGCATACTTTGCAAACAAAAGAATCAATAGCATTCTTCTTTAAGTAATACATGCTCTTAGGTTACTTATTTTATATTTATTAGATTTACTTTAACTATTACATATTATGTTTGTAAATAGCCATTATTTGTATAAAATACTAGCGGGAGAAAATTTCAACATGACAAGCCAAAAAATACATAATGAACAAAATTATATTTATTAAAGTTGTCATGAAACAAAGTAAAATAAGAATATCATAAAAATAAAACTGGGTACAACATGCGCATGCCCGAATGATGTAGAAAATGTGCATTTTGCTAATTATGCTTTACAAAGAGATTGACAAAAGTTAAAAAATATACAAGGTATAGATACAGTCTCTCTTGTTTCAGGAAGAAATGGTATCCCAATATTAAAGCATACCAATAAAAGTAAAAATTCAAAAAAGAAAAACAGTCTTATACACATTTTCGGTTCAGTTCTTCAATATTGGTAAAACTGAAAATTGAAGATAAAAGTTGATACATACCTTGAAGTTGACGACTGATGAGAGCAGTAATGCCTTGACTATCACCAGTCTTTTTTACAACAAAAAGTTTTGTGTCAGCATCATTTTCTAAGGCTCCAATACCACCCAGACCAATTATCTGTCCATTCTGCTGCTGATGACTGCTAGCAGCCATCGTCTCACTCACCTATACAAAGAAAATACGATAGGATACGCACATGTTGAAGCATTTATTAAGCCTACTGACAATTCTATAATTTAACAAGTGTAGAAGACATTTTTTCGTGATATTTAAATAAAAAATATGCTTAACAAATAAGCTATACCTGCATCAATTTCTTAACTACATCTCTGCCCAAAATGTGATCAAACACTGCCTGCAGGAATTGATCGCTAATTATGCTTAATTTTAGTTTGTCTCTATGCCATAATAATATCCTTGATTCTTCCATAGCTGTTATTGAGACCTACGCAAATATCGAACGCCAAGATATCAAATATTTATATTGGCATATCGGAATTATCAAATTAGATGGATGAAAAGATATTGTAACGAAAGTTTGCTGGTGTAAAAAATATATCGACAATTTACCTGGAAGTATTCGTCTGTCGAGACACCAAACCATTCTGGAGAATCCAGGAACTGATGTGGGAAGACGATGTGTAATGCTCTTCCATTTTGTGAGACAACTAGTCTATGAAGAGCAAAAATTAATATGACAATAACAGAGCTCTTTTGACGAAGAGTAAGTCTAAAGAATTCAAGTAAGGTGCATTCTTACTTTCCCGACAGTACCAACGATAAAGAATCGACTTTGGTCACTTTTTCTTGTGCATAAACCTCTTGATACTTCAACTGGCGAATGGTCTTCATACAATTTAATACTTTTCTGAATTGATGACGAGACACCCGTAATGGCTGGAACACTGCAACGTATACCTATGTGAAAGAAGACGACTGTGAAATTTTTTAATTTCAAATAATTGTTTTAAATAAATATGCATTAAGAATTTCAAACAAAACTTTTATCTACGTCGTACTATAAATATATTATAAAGTATTGTTTCATTAATTATTAATATTTAAGGACAAGTTCTACTAAATAAAGTAGATAGTTTTTTTTAATAATAACACTACTTGATTTTGGCAAGGATTAAATAAATATTCTGAATAAAGTATTTGTAATAACAGTGCAAAAATAAATCAGAAATCTTTGTGTGTGATACAAATGCTGCAAACAGAAAGCAAATTACATAGAGTATCATGTATCTAATTGTACTACTTCTCAAGAGTATCTAGTACACCTATTCATAAGACATATGTATAATAATAATTTTGAAAAATATAGATAAATGAGAATGAAAGGTTTCCTATACGAGATATTTAATGCTATACATGTCAAATAAATTGTACTATTGTATACTATTTTCTGCATCAGTTTTGTAAATAATTGATACTCCCTCGCATCACTGTCTTCCACTTGATCTTCGCTTACCTCTTCGATTTCCTTTGTAAACTTGATAGGCCTGAGCTTGTAAAGAAGCGTGCATACATGGACGAAGTTGATGGCAACAAAGAGAGCATTCCAGAGAGCAGCATCCAGCCAGCAAGCTATTGTCCAGCCCCACAAAGCAAGAAAGGCACAGCCCACGAGTAGAGTGCACCTTAAATAGAGTACACCATGTATGCCGCTTGGTGCAAGGTGTGACAATAGGAAGAAGGCATTTGCGAGTTGAAAGTAGATGTGATTCACGTAAATTCCTTGATAGGGTTGGCAGGTAAGAGCTCCGTACAGAAAGGTTGGAGGCACTATCGGCGAATGAGGATAACCGGATCCATGGCTGACCACTGACAGTCCAGTACCTGTACAGACACGAGAGCCACACGTTTCGCCGGTCAATGTCAGCGATGACAAGTGAACGCGACCCGAAAGCAGGACCCTTCGGGTTACGCGCGGTGATATCGAGCGCGGAAATATTAACTGTACCCTCTCTATTGTCAGTGGTCACATTCCTGCATTCGTCGTTCTCGTGGTGTGCCGACCCCGGTACCGATACCTCCGACGTGACTGTATTACGAGGAACATTGGACGCGGCTGCATTCGTTAGGCTGGCATCGATGGTGATGGAGGTCCAATACAGGAGTACGACGAACGAAATGGAACCCCAGCCTATTCGGCTTCCTATCGGGTCGAAGCAGATCCACATCCCCGCATTACCACCAAGCTGGACCGTATTCGTTTCGCTCTGCAAACAAGTTTTTGCAAATTGTATTTTCCGCACATACAGGGTGATTCAGGACCTAACCGACAAACGTTGAGGAACGACGGGTCTCGCAGAAAGGATCATTTTTTCGTCGAGCAACCAAAGTCGTCGTTTAGGCGCTCCGCAACCGCGAAGGTCCTAGGTGACATGTGTTACAATTCTTTTTCTCAGACATCTATTACAATTATACAAATCCTCAAAGTTTCTCGGTGAGGTCCTGAATCCCCGTATAACAGCATCGCATTCTAAAGTGCGATGATAACATTACGTTTATTAAAATCATATCAATTAATGACTAACTGGTAAATCCACATACATATATCCACCAAGTCTACACGCGTGTTGCAGGTGGCATTATTTTAATTTTACACAGTCCTTTCAACGTCCATATTGCAATAATTCAACGATGCTGATTGAATAACTTTACGTTTTATGCTTATCTCTAAACAATATGAAAGCAAACGCTGTGATTTGTGAATTCTCGGTCGCCGCTTACATTTCTGTATTAATCTCAGCTAAAATTGGAACTGGACGATGAGAACCATCTTGCAGACTTCAGATCAAGGAAGGATATTTGCATTACCAACGGCTGTGGGAAGACAATATCAACATCTGTAACACAAATGCATACAAGTGGGTGTTTGATCAGCCGCGCATAAAAATACAAGAGGACTAAGCGTTTCACAGAAGTCTAGATTGCAAGATTATTCGTAGGAAACAACTGGGGTCTTTCGCTATCGATGCAATCTCTGTCTCAGTTAGTTAAACAACGCCTCAGATAAGGCAATTGTCGTAAAGAACCTATGTATGTTCTTCTCGAGAAAGGACTTATCAGTGAAAGATGGCAGCGATAAGTCAGTTTGTAAAAATAAGATTTTCTCGGTACCTGGTGTCGTCAGGTATTCTGAGTCTTTAATTTACCGCTCGTATCGCCGGAGATTGTGTCTGTCAGAGGCCGAGCGTCTGCAAACGAGATAAAAGGCACGTCAAGCGCAGGAGGCGCGCGACAGCGTGATTTTACGAGTCGCGGTGCACGGGGGAGACGGACGCGCGGACGTCGATTTACGCTCGTTCTCACGGCGAAGCCGTGAGGCCGTTTGAATCGCCGCGGGAGCGACTCAATCCAATTTCCACGATCCCGTTTCTCGTCCCGCTCGGTGCACATACGCGATGCACATGTGCCGCGGCTGCTCCACGGCCTGCCATTTTACACACGCGACCTCGGCGACCTACGATTAATATCCAACCCGAGACCCGCGGGACAGACGTCCAAGTTGGACCGCGGGACGGACGAGGGTCGATCGCGTGTCGCGGCGCCAGAAATCGCTGCCGGACGGCGGGTCCGCGAGCTCGCCGACTTTCCACCGTGCCGTCGGGGAAAACGGGGACAGCTACCGCCAGCCGTCGCCGTCGCCGTCGCCGCGGTTACACCCTCGCGGTCTCGCCGATCGCGACGACGCCAGTTATCAAGAGTGTCCCTTTCGAAATCAATAAATAACTTACTCATGGAAAATCGGCGACGGTGGGGGCGTACGCAAGGCATACAGATGAGAGGGCGAACGATGGTGCGACGACCGTCGCTCGTGAGGGAAGGGAACCCGAGGGGATCGCCGCCGATGTCGCCGTAGAGCCGGCCCGTAATCGCCCGAGAGTGCGTAGGCGCGCGCGTGCTACGTGCGAAACAAAGTCGTCGAGATTGCCTGCCGCCGCCGCCGACGCTGCTGCTGCCGCCGCCGTCGCTGCTGCGATCGCGCGCCGCTCGCCGCTCGCTCGGCCGTGACACAAACGTCAAACTGGCGCGGCGCGAGCTGCCGTTGCGACTTGCAAGCGACGTCGCAAAGCCCGCGATAGGACGGGAGCGGGGGAGAGGGTGAAACGGGGTGGTAGGGTGGCGCTGGAAGGGCGACGACATAGGGCGTGATAAATATAGACTGCGCCTCCGATAATGCGCTTTACTCGACACTGTACCTTAGAAAGAGAGCTTTGAGAGGCTTGCCTTCTCTCTCTCTCTCTTTCTCTCTCTGATGTAAAAGCTCTAATCCAACGAGCACACGTGTCCCCTCATTTCATGTATAATGTAGAATTGTAGATCAACATAAGACAGTTCATGTTTTTATTTGACGAGCATTTTTCAAATATTATTTGTCACATTAATAACACACAATAAAAAATTTGATAATTTACAAACACTTACTCTAACAGTTATAAATATTACTTTAATATTTATATTTGTTTCTTGAAAATATGGACGTCATTCTCGCTGCTACCTTTGGTATCATTGTGTTGGTAGGATTCTCATAAATCGCCATTCACAAGTCAAATATTCTGGACCGAAAGGATCTTCAGATCTTCTGTCCAACCAATACACGTGGCATTACACTGATTGTGAAATATTACACTTAAGGTGATTTTAAATATAAAATTGAAACAGCGAGCACCATTTAAATGTTTGCAGGCTACCCAGACAACAATTGTTGCGCGCAAATTTTGCTTGTCTTACGCAGGCAAATTTGTACGAGATTTGCCCGAGTTTTGTAATCCGTAAGATATGTTTAGTCTGCGCTTTTGCACGCAAGTGGCTAGCTCATATATTAACGTATCTACCAACTCGCGTACAAAAATGGCTCGGCAACGCAAGCAAAAGTTCTATCCAAGTGCGTCGTCATAAGATGTTTGCGCGCAAAATGTTTTCTGGGTAGTAATGTACTGTTTGTACTAAAAAAAAGCTCATTATTAAAGTTTTCCCAACAGATCTTGCAGCATATCTTGAAATATTAAGATCTTCTTTTGCAAGCGTTTGTTCTTTTGTAGCATGATTCTATTTGCATGGTTCTTGTAGGCGATACACTTTAAAAACGCCATCCACTTTTCGTCCGATGAAAAATCCGCTTTCGCGAAACCTACTGCACTGCGTTTGGAATATTTAAATAAAATTGTTCTCGTTTCGGAATTGCCTGAATTGCCTGAATTAGGCGATGAAAATTTTCTGGAAAAAAAAGGTATCTACAGTATTTACAAGATGACAAGTAAAAAGATCAATTTCTTTTCTTTGCACTTGCCTTACCTCTCACTACTTATATCATTTATGTTGTTTTCAAAATGAATCTTTTCTTGATTATCAATACAAGTGGCATTAATTTCTTTTCCCGAATGTAATCGAACGACTAAGCTTTCACTTGTACCTTGAGCCAATACTAATTCGTTGCTCGCATTTTCCCTGCAAATAAAAGTGTTTCAGAGTAGAAATATTATATTATCCAATGTATGAAATTAATAATCGACACAACTGGAAAATTCTACGTAAAGAAATTTATAGCGAAAAATATTACCTCAGCCACGGTTTGAACCTGGACCTCCCTACACTCTAGGCGGGCGTCTTACCAATTCGACTACCGATTGTGAGGCAATCTGTTGAATTGGCAAGACGCCCACTCAGAGCGTAGGCGGGTCCAAATTTAAATCTTGGCTAAGGTAATATTTTTCGCAATAAATTTCTTTAATTAGAATTTTCCAGTCGTGCCGATCATTAATTTCCTACATTGGTTAATTATTTACTGGCGACAATAAGTCTTCAATCTTATTATATTTATATTGAACATATGTAACATTAATTATGCCTTTATACTTACTTTTCTTTGGTTTCGCTAATATCACTTGGGTTATGAGTTTCTTCATGATTTTCTAAATCGTGAAGAGTAACATCCTCTTCATTTTGAGATATAATTTCAGAACCGTTGAATAAACTTACATCTGGCTTTTGAAATAATAACAATTCTCTGTTTGCATTTTCTCTAAACAGCAGTGTTTAAAGTAATCTACATGTTATTATTATAAAACATGGGCTCTCGATATACATTATATAATTAAAAAATCTTGTCTCTCACTGTTTTCGCAGGGTCACAGAAGGGACTGCAGTTTTCTTTAGTCTTTTCCTTATTCTTGAATAAGGATTTATGTCGTGATAATCATTTTCCGTGAAATGATCGCTGCAAACTCTGGCCCCCTTGTACGAGACAATACGTCCGATCCTATGTAACCATTTATTCCTCATTTCTTCGTTCACTGGTATCCTACGCAGACGTGTATTTTGAAACTTTCATTACAGAATGTGTGTACACGCACCGGCATAAATGCTGTCCCTATCCTTGTGAGGTGCACGCACACAACTAGAGTCCCTGTAGTTGTGTGCGTGCACCTCACAAGGATAGGGACAGCATTTATGCCGGTGCGTGTACAATTTTTTAAATGTTTATTTCCATCAAAATTTAAGGTGGGGGCTTTAAACTACTAATGTTAAAAAGGCCACAAAAAATTAGTAAAGACATTGCAAGGCTTCTTTGTTCTTTAATTAACGTGTTGTTAGTACGTTACAGTGTTATCGACAATCATTATTGAATATTTGCAATTAATCGATTTTTCAAAAATACTGGGCTGCAATTACCTGTGAAATGACCGACGTAGTTCAAGAGGGTGGTCTTCCCTCGAACATATACAACACGACGAGACCATTTTTCCGTCAAATTACGTTACCATTCGCCGAGTAAACAATGTTTCTTTTTAATAAATTAATAATTCAATGACATGTCAGGTTACTCGCGAACAAACAAGATCTTTGACTATATAACTAGTTATATATAAGACCGACAAGACGCATATAAGCGACAAGCGACATAAACAAACCATAGACACAATATAAACAGACTGCAGACTTCTGTGTAAAATTATATAGTCAAAGGCCCTCCGCGTCTGGATCAGTACCGGAAGTCGCCATTTTCCGTTTAACAGCGTACAAAGAGCGGCAAATTTTAAATACCCATCGTAACTATTATATAAAACGCCAATGCAATCTGAGATAGAACAAAGTTATTCTACTTTTATTTTAATAAACGAATAGGAATTTGTAGGAACTCTAGATTTCTGGATTGGGATTACGTGCACGATCGGTCAGTCGACTTCATATACGTTTTTACTCTACAGTTTTCATGATTCATGCTTATTTATTATATCAACCTTTCGAAGATTTTGAAAATGTAGAAAAAAATTATGAATGCGGAATTCTTAGCATCCCATGATAATGGACTCTCGAGGAAACCTCTTATTTTCGGTAGAGTGACGGACCTTGTCTGAAAAAAATTAACAATTCTCTGCCAAGGAATGTGTTAAGCCCGTATCAGACTACGGATTGAGATTGGGATTAGATTGAAATTTGACCAATCGCGCAGTAAAGTTCACTAATCTCAAGTTTAGTAACTTTTACTCTCATTGGCCAATTTTCAATCTAATCTCAATTTCAATCCGTAGTCTGATACGGGCTTTAAGCCTCGTCTACATAGAAGTCGTAAAGTCGT